GCCAGGGGAATTGCAGATACCATGCCCCTGGTGAAGCCCCAGGCATTTGGGTCTGGGAAGGAGAATACTTGCGGGGTGGTAGCGCCACACAGACTTGACAAGTGAACTCCGCTTGGGCAAATTTTGGAATTTTGCCCAATTGAATTTGGAACTGATCTGGCCTTGAATAAGATAAAAAAAATAAATCCCCTCTTCATTATCTTTTTTACACACACACATACACATGTGCACGCGCGTGCTCTTGTACTTACCCTGACTTACTAATACCTTCCCTTCCCAGTTGATTTCCCATCTGTCCCCCTCCTCACAAGTGCACTGCTACATTTTCCCAGACTCTTCACTGGTCAAATCCAGTAGCTTTATGGAAAAAGGCTCACTACAGATACAAAGCACAGAGACCGATATGGGGTTTAGGCAAATCGGGTGTTACCCAGAAATAGGGTGTTGCCTCTCTTCCTTCCCATTAAAACTATATCTAAACGTAAAAAAGTATTTTTTTCTTTTCACTATCATCATCCACTATTTCCCCATTCCTCTTTTCCCTTCCGTGTTCTTGTTTATTCTCATCTCTCCCCCTACCACCCTCCTAGTACCCCTATTCATGTCTTTTCCTCCCCCATCACTGGTTCCCCTCTGTCTCTAGGACCTCATTTTTTCTTCATCTCTTGCAACTCCCACCTTACTCTCTCCTTTCAAAATTTGTTACTTTGGTTCCCTTTTATTTCTCTACTTGAATTTCTTCCCCAAAGCTGCCCCTTTTTCCTTTTACTCACTTTAATTTTCTCTCTTTCTTTCTTTCCATTTCTCTCCCCATGATATTTCCTTTCCTCAGTTTATCCTGCATGCCCTCCCCTCTCTTCTAAATTCCTGTTCCATCTTCTCAGCAGCTACCTGTATTATTATCCAGTCCAGGCCATAGTCTTAAGCTAGTGCCAGCTTTCACCTGCTGCCATGCCCAGAGCTGTCTTGGCACTGATTCTTCAGTGCCCCCCCCACCTTCTGTTCCACTCCCATTGTTGTTGCATCAGCAGACATTCCTAGACAAAGGTTCTTCAGGCTTTGCGACACCATCAGGCTGATCACGATGATAAGTATTCCTGCTGGGGGCACCATGTTCTGTAATGAAAAATTAGCAGAGACATGTTCTAACCCAACGGAAAGGGTGACGAAAGGCAGGGGTCTACACAAAGTATATTACAGTATTGGGGCCAGTCTTCCTTTTCATAGGGACCCCTGGACAAACAAAACAGCAGCCATAGTGGGATTCTTTGTAGGATATTTTACTCTCTCAGTGACAGCAGTCAAGGGGATCTGTACATGAGTGCGGAGGCTGTCCGACACACTGTAATTCCAGCACATCAGAGCATGGCAATTACCAAGCTCCAACAGCCTCCAGCGTCTTGGGTATCAGCCTCCCTGTGCTTCAAAACAGTGGTGGGGTGCTTGAACTAAAGCTCATCCAATGGGCTTTGGTTAAGTGCCCCGCTGCCATTTTTAAGTGGGGGGACACTGATACACGGGATGCAGCAGCGCTTTAATCAGAACGGCCTTTTAGTCTAGGACAGTGAGGTCAACTTTTTTGACAGGCACGCCACAAATTAAGCCCTGAGTGCTACTCCAATCCCCTTCCCCTGCCCAATCTTCTTTCTGCATTCTGCTCTGTGCTCCCTACCTAATATGCTGCCCACTCTGACACTGTGCTGCCTGTTCCCTCACCAGTCTGCTGCATACCGCTCACAGAGGCCTGTACTGCAAGTTGGCCACCCCAATCTAGAAAAAGATTTTCCCAGTATCTTACGTTGGAGTGAATGTGTTCGCTTTAGGATTGATTGAGCAGTGGTTCTCAACCTTTTTAGAGTTGTGGCACCCTGCAGAAAATGCCAAGTCAGTTTTGTTTTTTTGACTACAGAAAAACAAGAGAGCAATTTTTCAGTTGCAAAAAATATTGGGAAGACCACAACAGGGCAGATTTTTAATGCTATGGATTCCTATTGGAAATCTCTGGGTTTATCCTGTGAATCATGTTTGCACACGCAGTGATGCTGGGACTGCATGGAACTCCCACAGCACCCCTGAAAGGATTTCACAGAATCATAGAGAAGTCAGACTGGAAAGGACCTCCAGAGGTCATCTAGACCAGGGGGTCCCAGGGGGTATGCAAAACATCTCTGGGGGGTATGCAGGAGAAACTGTGTAATGGCAAATTTAATGTTCATTGTATTAATCAAGATTCATGGTACAAGTGATATTAGACCAACTAGATTGTTGCAAAAAAAAATCTTTAATTGCAAGCTTTCAGGCACAAACACCATGCATCAGGCACTGGAGAAAAGATTGCAAAAGTTCTCCTTTTGCGTGGGCAGCACCTGTGGCCAAGCAGAGGATGGTGCGTGGCAGCACGCCATCCTCGCCCACCCACACATACCTCCTAGGGCCTTCTTAAGTACCCCCGGGGCTACACGTACCCCTGGTTGACAACCCCTGCCCTAACTTGCCATAGGTAAAGCAGGGGAACTGCGCAACCAAACGTCCTGCTTCTAGGAAATGTCAATCAATGTTTGCTGGAGTTCCCTGTACAGGGCCCCCGCCCCCCCCACTTCCCTTCCCTCGGCAAATCCCGACTCCCCCTCCCAATCCTACTTATCTGATCACAGGCTAAAATTCCTTCCTAACCTTGCAAGGGGGCAAGACCCTCCAGGCACGGGACATCCAGCTTTGGTCCCAGCAGGAGCACAGCCCGGAATGAGAACCCCGTCCTGCAAGAGAGGCTCTCCTAGCGCGCAAAATCAAGTGCAAGGTTTCAGAGGCTCACGTGAGCCTTGCACGGAGCCCTGCTCCTCCGCCCCCTACACTAAGTATTTTTAACTGGGGTCATTTCATTCCCGTGGTGCGAATGGATCCCGCGCCCAAACGCTGCGACTAGCCACTATCACAGCTGCGGCTGCCCTGGCACACGAGCTCCACGTGGTGCCTGCCGCCCGTGGGGGCGGGGCTCCGCCGCTAGAAGGTCCCCAGGCGGGGGGCGGAGTCAAGGCCGCGCGGAATTCCGCAGCCTCCCGGAAGTACCTTACCATAGAGTTGCGGGGCGGGCCGTTCTGGGGGGCGGGAGGCCTCGGCATGGAGGAGCGGGGGGAGCGCATGGGGCTGCAGTGCCGCCAGCACAGCGCCTCCTGCCACGAATTCTCGGTGCGCTGCCAGCCCGTGCAGCTCCGCTCACTGAGCGCCGTCACCTGCTCCGTGTGGCTGGCGGCATACTGGCTCTTCGTGCTCACCCAGGTACCGCGACCCTTGAGAGTGGCAGTCTCCCATCCAAGCGCAGAATGGACCTGATGCTGCTTAGCTTCCTAGGCACGTCAGGCCAGCAGGACGACATGTTACGGGGGCGTGAGAGTGGGGCTGGGTCTGAGCACCTTGCAGGTCAGACCTCAGGTGTGTTGTGGGGGAGTGGCCGGGAGGGCAGGGGACAGGTAACTAGGACCTGTGCGAGGCTCTGATGCAAGAAGCTCCTTCAAAGTGAACAGGGCTTTCTTCTTGTGCTGAGAAAACCGTGGGTCCTTAAGTAGGCCAGCGGCTTCCAATCTGTGGTACGGGTACCACCAGTGGTACATGGGCAACCTGTCGGTGGTACACGTTAACAGATTTATTATCATTACTTTATATGACAAAAATGTTCTGGTAGTACTTAAGGTTGTATGGTTTTAAATTGGCAGTGTGCAATTTGTCAGAGCTTGGGAACCGCTGCTGTAGGCCCCTTCAATCCGGGAGGCTGCTCGTGACCCTAACAACTGAATACAGGGGGCTAATAGAAAGAAAACAGGGAAGGGAGGGTGGTTACGGGTTAATAACAAAGGTATCTAGAAGGGGACACGGAGCACAGCATGATGGCTAGTGCCCACTGCCCCCTGAATGAGTTGAGGGAGCGTGTGGATGCAGACTGGTGAAACCCTGCCCAGAGATGGGAGCAGAGGGGTAATAAGAAGACAGCTCCACACTTTCGTAGATTTCTCCACCCCGGCCTGGTCCGGTAGGTGGTCAGATTGGCCAGAACCAGGAGGAGGTTGTTTGAGAGGTCCCAGGGCTTGGTGGTGCCACAGCTGAGCAGTGCGTAACAGAAAAGGTGAGGGGAGAAATGCAGCCAGAACCTCAGCAGGAGGTTCTGGAGGTGGCAGAATAGGGGCCGCAGCCTGGTGTCGTGGGCGTCCTTGAAATGTGCCAGGTACACCCTTGGCAACAGCTCTGCGGAGGAGCCAATAACTGAGGCTGTCAGAGGTGGGCCTGTTTGATGTGCCGAAACATCATTGGCATAAGCCCACCATGAATACTGTGTGCCTGCCTTAATAGGGAGGCCACTGGGGACACATCAGTTAAATACAGGGGGATAAATTAAGAGACAATAGGAAAGGAAGTGAGGTCATAGGTTAGTAACAAGGGGACACAAAGTAGAGCATACCAGCCAGTATCTGCTGTCCCCTGAATGAGTCAGAGAAGCCTGTAGACATTGACCAGTGAATTCTGCCTGCAAATGTGAGTGGAGTGAGAGGAAGACAGTGCCACACTTGCCCAGGTTCCTCCTCCCCAGCCAGAGGCTCTTTCCTGGTCTGGGAGATGGCCACACAAAGAGAATAAGGAGTCACTGCCCTTACTGGAGAGCTGAGAGACTGTCACCCTTTGGGCAAGGTGGGCTATTACCGTGAGCCTGGTCAGGCCCATGAAAACAAGATGCATAGCTCTCTGCTGACCGTGAGACTGCACCAGGTACCAGCCATGTTCTGGATGGCACGTGCAGCAGCCCAAACTGCCTTGAGGTTTTCTTTTGTTGTTTATAAGTTCCTTCAGGGCAGAGAACATGCATCTGGACTGAGAGGTGCTTAGACATTCTTGCGAGTCCAGAAAACACACACTCGAGGAGAACAGGGTATGTTTGAAGTCCTACGAGAACAATTTCTTCGGGCAGATGAGTAATGGCTAAGATTCATCCTTAGATATTTATAAGAATGAATGGCATTGCACTAGCAGTATCTTTTACCTAATTAGGGTGCACAAGTGAGTCAACAACACCTGGTAGTCAAAGATTTCAAAGGCTTGTTAACAGATCTAAAGGAACTGGCATAACTGTCTGGTCTTTGCCCATTGCTAGGAGGTGATGAGCAACCAGAGAGATAAGTGTAATCTCTGTACCGTATAACCAAGCCAAAACCTGATTGAGGCAGTCTAGGGACTATATCTGATGCTAGATTTGCCTCAAAACAACTTTCTCCACAATCTTTCTGAGAAAGGGAGAGAAAGTTAGCAAGATTGCTCTTGTCAAAAATGGTTTGCTGAAGGACTCACAACTGCTTGTTGGAGAAAAAATGGGAACTTGTTTTGAAAAAGAATCCAGTCTCAGCCAGCAGTCACCCCAGCATGTTTCAGCTTGATTTTTTTTTTTTTAACAGGTCTCAATA